TCCTAGGCTCGGCGGCGGGGCAGGCAGATGGCCAGTGGATAAGCAGCCACGCGCTGCAGAGAGTCAGACGCCTTCTTCTTTCTGACAGCCGCCGCGGCGGCCCGGCGCCGATGGTGCAGGAGCTGCGTGCGGAGCCTTGAGCGCCAGGTGGTCCTGGCCGCTGCCTGGCCCAGTCCGAGGCCCCGCAAGGTCGTCTTCAGCGCTGGGAGCGCCTGAGGGGAGCAGGGCGCGCCAGGGGGCCAGACGGCGGCACGAAAAAACCCGGCGCTGCAACATTCCAGGAATAAACCCGGACACAGGGCCTAAAGGCCTCCCAAACCCCCCCTAAACCCGGACACAGACCCCAATCCTGCAGTGCAGCAAAAAAAAAAAACGCTCAACGACCTGCGGCCGACAACCGCCAGGGCAGCCGCCGCGCATGCCTCGGGGGCCCAGGGGGGGCTCTGACAGGATCGTCGGCCCTGACGTTTGTAGCCGCGTGCGTGGCCGTGCCCGCCGAGCGTCCCCCCCCCAATGACAGGGCACCTGTAAAGGTAACCATCCAGAGATGCCGTCCGCCAGGGGCAGGCTCACCGCGGTGTTCAGCAGCTCAGGGGGGCCCGAAAGACAATCAGGTGCCAGTGCGACGTGGCTTGCTTTGTCCAGCTGCGCAGCCCAGAAAGCATGATACTTATTCATGACTATGCCCTCTTCGCGCGCCGCGTCGCGGCTTCGGGGGGCATGTTCCGAGTACTGCAAACCACTGCTAGACCTGATGACTCCAATGCCATTTTGCGTCAGCCAGTGCTTGGTCATGCGCCTGCTGCGACATGCGCCCTGCAACACTGGGGTGCCCTCGCTCGTGCCCTGCAGCCCGCCCTCTGGCTCCGTGTTGGCGTCCACCAATTCGGCCAGCTGCCAGAACACCTGGAAGACGAATGTGTCCATGCGCTCGCACTGCCCGGTCTGGGCCGCCCACAGAAACTCAGAAGCCCGATCCTGTCGCCAGCCCTCCCCATATTCTTTCACCATCGTGTCGAACAGAGCGCGCTGATGGACGCAGTCGCCCTGGCATCGCAAACCGGAGCAATCTGGCAACTCCCACCCTGAGTTTAAGAGCACTGGTAGCTGGCTGCCAGAGACGCGAGAGAAAGCCGTGAAGATATCCCGGGCCTTCTGACGCACGGCAGGTTTATTGCTAGATTTCATGCTCATCAGGAAAAGAAGCGCCCATGCCGTTGAGGACATGATTTCGATGTCGTGGTACTTTGTGAGCTCACATTCGTCGTTGACACCCTTTGACCGAGCCTGCTTACGGGAGGGCCGCATGTGCACGTCGCCGTCCATTTCAAAGAAGTCCAAGAGCTTCCCCATGCGATCTGAGAACTTCTTGTGGCGAAGGTACGTGGCAAGGTCCCTACCCTTGGCGTTGAAGCCGAGCTTGTAATAGAATTCCCGCAGCTCCCACCAGATCCGCGGGCCGTCATCATGCAACGGAACTCCCAAAACTGACGCCTGTGCTGCGAAAGAGATCCTGCCGGAATAATCCGACATCTTCGAGAATCGCAACGCTGCTGCACCGAACCCTCCGTCACCGCCAGAGGAGGACGCGGAGATGACTCCTGCACGTGTTTCCCCTTCTCTGCGTTTGGGTTTCCTCTCAACCTTCCCGGGGTCGAACAACGCATCGTCATCATTGAAATCTCCCATTGTGTTCAATGAGTGCGTTACCGAAACGAGCTGGAGGAGAAACGGCTGTGGGATGATTGGTGCTTAGACGACGGTGATGCGGCCTGCGAGCGCCAATCGACCGATGGCATGCAGGGGGGCAAGATTTGTCCGCCCTTCAACCTTGATTCATTTTTTTGGAGGCCCGCCGGGTCTCGAACCCTGGCAAGACGAGATCCCTGCATAGCCATGGGAAGCCCTCTGCAAACCCTTGGGAAAATCCCAAGAGGCCCGACGGTAGCCTCAAGAAGGGCCCCACAGGGCCCGAACAGGGCTCCAAGAGGACCCCGAAAATCCCAGACAACATCGCTATGGACGCAACGTGTGGCCCGCTCAGCTCTCATGCGGCCTTCCAAGGGTGTCCAGGAGGATCTGCGAGGGCCCACAGCGCAGCCCAAGAAGGGCCGAAGTACGGTGTCCAAGTGCACACCCGACTTGAGCCCGTTATGGGCCCCTTTTGGCGCCATCCTGGGGCTGCCTCGGGGCCCTCCAGGGCCCTCAAATGCTGCCCAGTAGAACCCCAAAATGGTTCCGCAGAGGGCCCCAAAAAGCAGCGCAGAAGCACAACTGGAACTACCCTAAGAAGCACCGTAGAAGCACCACTGGAATTACCCCAAGAAGCACCCGATCACGAAAGCACCGCAGGAGCACCACTGGAATTACCCCAAGAGGCAGCGCAGAAGCACCACAGGAATTACCCCAAGAAGCACCGCAGAAGCACCACTGGAATTACCCCAAGAAGCACCCGATCACGAAAGCACCGCGGGAGCACAACTGGAATTACCCCAAGAGGCAGCGCAGAAGCACCACTGGAATTACCCCAAGAGGCAACGCAGAAGCACCACTGGAAGTACCCCAAGAAGCAGCGCAGAAGCACCACTGGAAGTACCACAGGAAGCGCCCGAACACGACAGCACCGCAGAAGCACCACTGGCATTACCCCAAGAGGCAGCGCAGAAGCCCCACTGGATGTACCCCAAGAAGCAGCGCAGAAGCACCACAGGAATTACCCCAAGAGGCCCCCGATCACGAAAGCTTGAGGCAGACGCAACTTGAAGCAGACGGCTACGGAAGGCCAGATCACCCCCGACCCGGGGCAGGCCACGACGGAGACCCCGAAAATCATCGAAAATGGGATGCCGAACCCCCCCAGCGTCTGCATAAAAGGGCGCACCTCTCGGGGCCCATTTTCGGCCTTCAGGTGACCAGAAAACGTTTCCTGCCAGCGGGGCTTCAGGTGACGGGGGGGCTGCGCCCGCCCAGCCCGTCTTTGGGGGAGGGAGTGGGGTGCCTGGTGGGCTGGAGGTGCGGAGGCTCTGTAGGAGGAGGCCCGGCATTGGGCTAGGGAAGCCCGAGACCCGGTTTGTGTCAGGATTTCCATTGACACAAATTCTTCGTCCCGACGGCTCTTGGACGGCCTGGCGCCAGGGAAGGGCCTCCACAGGGCCCAAGGCGCTCCCGGCCTGCTCCAAGACGGCCCAAGATCGGCTCCATACGGCCACAAGAGCCCCCCCGTATGCTCGAAAGACCCCTCCCGACCGCTCGGAGACCCGGTTTGCGTCAAGATTTCCATTGACACAAATTCTTCGCCCGTCTTGGAGCCCAGCCAGCGCCCTGTCGGGGCCCTCCCGAGGCGGCCTCTGACCCCGTCATGGGGTTCTGGAGGGGCGTCCCCAGCCACCCCAGAACCGACCAAAATGGGACACCGACCCCCCCCCCCACGGTGTACCCGGAAGGCCCCGGTACACCGAGGGGGGGGGGACACTCTTATGCAGACGGTGGGGGCGGACTCTTTTATGCAAACGTCAAGGGGGACCCTTGAGGGCCGAAATGCGAGAACCGTGTTCCAATCACCTGAGGGCCGCACTGTGGGAAGCGTTTTCCTGACACCTGAGGGCCGAAAAGGAGCCCCGAGAGGTGCGCCCTTTTTTATGCAAACGCTGTTGGAGGGTCACTTTTATGGAAACGGTGGGGCGCGCCACCTACACGCTTGCACGCGCGCTTTGGTTCTAATTTGTTGCGCCTCCCTGGGGCGACCGATGTCCAGACCGGTACTCTGCTGTCAGATCGGCTCGCTGGCCCATCCGCTATCAGAAGCTGCCCTGCGAGCGTGGCCAATAGGCGAATGTCGCCGCAGACACTGTTCGGCACGCCTCGAGCGGGACTCGCACGGCGCTCCTGTCCAGAGTCCTCAGCAAGGCCGACCCGAAGCGCAAGAGGCGTTGGCATCGAGACGATGCCAGAACTCCACGAGTCCAACACGATCCTGACTGTCTCCTCAACGCCGTCCTCCAACTGGTGCTTTGTAGTTCGACGGTGTTCCACTCCCTCCTGCTACCTCTTCGTTTTCACCAACACCCCCTCTACCTGCTCCACTCCTTCGTCCGCCCACTTTCTCCTCATCCTTTCTATTTCGCAGAGACTCTTTCCACCTCCTCCTCAGCCGTTGTTTTCGCGGCGTGGGCGCCACCTGTGGCAGTGCAGTTTGTGTGTGCGTGGTACGTGGATTTCTCTCGCCTCGCACGTCCCCCCCTCCTCCCCCTCCATCCCTTCCCTATCCCGTCCTCCTCGGGCCACGGCCACCGCACTGTCATCGCATCTTGCCGCATCAGAGAACCTAAATTCGTGACATTTTCGTTGCGTCACGAGCTGCCGGGCCCAACATGTCGTGACACGTTCATTTCGTTTTGCAGCTCGGCGGACTGCGCTTTGGCCCCTGCCACCCTCCCTTACCTCCTCCTGTCCCCTCCCATCCCTGTCGCTCGGATGCGCGCGCACGGTTCTAAGATCCGCCGCCGTGCCCCCTGGCACGTGGAGGCGTGCTAGAGTGCCGAGTGGTGTCTAGCAGGGTTTCTGTAATTTCCCGAAGCCCCCCCCCCGCCCCCCTGTGAGGAAACACCCAGGCGCGTGCATCGCCCCCTCTTTCCGAGGCTCTGTCGGCGGGCAGACGCGTCCCTGACGTTCTCCAACGCCCCCAAGATGCCCAGGACGGCCCCCAAGATGGAACTGGCAGGTCTCCAAGTCGCCATGATCGCCCAAGAGGCCTCCATGGCGGCCTCAGATGGCCCCAGCGTGGTTCAAGACGGCCTGCAGACGGCCCAAGAAGCCTCCAAGACGGGCCCAGAGATGTAAAAGGAAATCGGGGTTAAAACTGAGGGCGGAAATTCGGGCAGTTATAGGGCTTGAGTCAAGGGAGCTTGAGCCAATATTCCAGATTGTTCAGATTGTTCAAATGCCTTCCAATATTCCAGATTGTTCAAATGCCTTCCAAAGCCCACCAGGGGCCTCCCGTGCTCCCTCGCACAGCTGACGCCCATAAAGCTAGACTGTCACGGTGGCGGGACGAGCCGCTGGCAGCTGGACAACGATGACGATGATGATCTGCGGCGTCATGCATAGCAGACCGCCCCGAGATACCTAAAGCACCCGCGCAGACGAAATCGAGAAGCGCGGCAGCTTAAAAAATGCTCCGGGCGGAGCTTTTTTGTCAAAGCCAACCTAGCTATGTACACACCCTGCCAAGAGCGCGCTGGTTCGAAATCCGCCGCCGGCAAGTGGCTAGAGGGCCTCCTGGCGGGGCCCCCACCTGCAGAGGCGGCGGCTCTCGTTCCACATCGGGGCAGGCGTTTGCCAAAGAGCACGTTCCGCAGACGACAAAAAGTGTTTCGCGCCTGGGTGGGAGGCGGCGGCAAAACACGCGAGCATCTAGGCGGCAAAACAGAGCTCGCCCACCTGGGCAACCCCAAGACGATCGGTCGAATTCTTCAGCTGCCTCCCGCAACCTCCGCAGGAGGAGGCGACGGGGGAGACTCCTGCTCTGGCTGCTCAGCGGCTGCTGGCTGCTCAGCGGCTGCTGCATCAGGGGGCCCTGTCGGGCCCTCGGGCGCCGCGCCCGGCACAGCGCCCGCCGGCCCCCCGCCCGCCTGCGCGGCCGCCTTCGGCGCAGATGCTTTCGGACCCGTTGCAGTGGCGGGCCCCGCGGCCTTCCCCCCCGCTGGCCCCGCGGAGCCGGAGGCGCCCGTTTCGGCAGCGCTTGCGGGGCCCAGCCTCTTGACAGTGGGGGCCTTCGCCTTCGCCTTCTTGCTGGAGGCCTCCGCCTTGGCCTGCGCCACGGTCTTGCGCATCTGGTTGGCGACGCCCTCCACCTCCGAGGGCCTCTTCGCCAGCCTGCGGCGGAACTGGGGGATCATCGAATACAAGGTGTACTGCTCGCCAGTGGATTCCGAAAGCAGCGCAGCACGCCGGATGCTGTACGGCGACGTCACGGTGAACGGGCCCTTGTCGTCGAGGAGGTGAGTCGGCCCGACCTCCACCACGACGTCCTTCTCCTCCTCGGCGGTACCTTTCACTGGGACGGCCCATGCGCGCAAAACGACAGTCACCCCTTGTTCGCTTTGCGAACGAATGGTCCACGGCGCGCAGCTGTCCCACACGATGGTCCCGTGCTCCGTGTTGATTTCGAGGTACTGCCACCGACTGCCCAACAACACGTAGAGCTTCTTCATGCACTTGAACAGCTCCTTGGTGTCATCGACCGCCACGCGGTCGAGTTCGTCCCCAAACATGGCGATATCGAACCCGATCTCCATCAATTCTTGTTTGCTCAGCAGCGTGAGCGCCTTCAGCGTCATCTTGTCCATGCATTTGCGGTCCACGAAGAAGAGGCAAGCATCGATCAACTTCTTTGCCCAGCTCGCGAATACGAGCTGGCCCCTGCGAAGTTTCTGGCTCTCGGGCTCGTCGTCGTCGCCAGAGTCCTCCTCCACGACTGCCTCGCCCTCGGCCTTCCGCTTGCGGCTCGACACCGTGTTCTGGACCATATCGCCGATGCTCATGAGGTTCTGCTCCGCAATGGATTTCTCGGATTTGTACTGCTTGATGAAGTTTTTGACTAGGAGCTGGAGCTCCAAATCGTCGCCCATCTCGTCGAGGATCTCGGCCGTCTGCTGGTCGCGCGCCGCCAAGAAGACCTGCGTCAACTTCGCGGACGCTCGCAGAGCTGCGCCGCCGTCCGTGCCAGCGGCCGAAGCAGCGCCGTCCATCTTCAGCGGGCTGGTCTTCTCGGGCGTAAGGGGCATGCCTCAATGGACAAACGCGAGCTGTGAGGTAAACGGGCTAACGTTTTGAGCCAGAATGCCTATGAAAAGGATGACGGTCAGCTGGCGTCGGATGACAACGCATGCCGACGACCAGCGACAACTGATGACCCCGATGGGGTTGGAATTTGCCACTGCGCTGCGACGCGGACTGAAATGCCATCAACTCCCTTCGACGTTCTTGTGTGCATTTTGGGAATGTTATGCACGTGGCCCTGGTCCCGCGAATTCCTAGAATCCCACCAGCCCTCTGGGCATAGGTGGTCTAAAGCGTTACCTCTTCCAGTGTCCAAATTAGACCCCTCTCCCCACCCTCTCCCCCGAGGTCTGCCCCCCCCCCATCCAACAACCCTCCAAAACCCCCTCCACCCCCCCCCCCCCCCCCCCCCCCCACCACCCCCCATCACCACCCCCTCCACCTCCCCCTCCCCCCCCTCCACCCTCTGAGGGCTCTCTTGGAGCTCTCAGGATGCCCTCTTGGAACCCGACGAGGGGGCCCGGACAGGGTGGACGGGCTCCCGAAGGGCCCCTAGAGGGGGCCAGGAAGGCCCCAAGAGAACCCCAAGAGGGCCCTTCAGGGTGTCACTTTCAGCGCCGCTGAAAGTGACACCCTCCAAGGCCCTCTTGGAGCCGTCTTGGGGGCCTCTTGGAACCGTCTGGGGGTCCTCTTGGAACCCCAAGAGGGGACCAGGACAGGGTGGGAGGCCTCCCGAGGGGGCCCAAGAGGGGGCAAGGAGAGCCCCAAGAGGATCCCAAGAGGGCCCTTCAGGGTGCCAATTTCAGCGCCTCTGAAAGTGACACCCTGCAGGGCCCTCTTGGAGCCATCTTGGGGGCCTCTTGGAGCCGTCTGAGGGTCCTCTTGGAATCCCAAGAGGGGACCAGGACAGGGTGGGAGGGTTCCCGAGGGGGCCCAAAAGGGGGCAAGGAGAGCCCCAAGAGAACCCCAAGAGGGCCCTTCAGGGTGTCACTTTCAGCGCCCCTGAAAGTGACACCCTCCAGGGCCCTCTTAGCCGTCTGGGGGGCCTCTTGGAGCCGTCTGAGGGTCCTCTTGGAGCCTCAAGAGGGGGTCAGGATCGGGCGGGAGGGCTCCCGAGGGGCCCCAAGAGGGGGCCAGGCGGCCCCCAAGAGTGCCCCGACAAGGCCCCAACCCAGCTCTATCATGATAGAGCTGGTTTGGGGCCCTCTTGGAGCCGTCTTGGGGCCCTCTTGGTGCCCTCTGGGGGCTCCCGAAAACCTTCCAAGGGACATCCGAGGAGACCCCGAGTCATTCAATCAGTTTCTGGCTCTTCTGCTCGTCCTTTTTCCTCCTGCCGCATTCTCCTCCCCCTCCTCCTCTTCCTCTTCCTTTTCCTCCTCATCCTTCTGCTCCTACTCCTCCTTCTCTTCCTCCTCATCCCATGCATCATCCTTCTCCCCACTCCCTCAGCCATCCATCCAGCCTCCTTATCCTCCCTCCTTCGCTCGGTTCGGCGATCCCCTGCTGTGCTCCCACACTTCCTTGATCACCTCAACTCGCCTGGGCGTCGCTCCTGGATGGGCTTGTGGGGATGCGCGAAGCGTCAAGAATTCCGGGGCGCTCTTGGGCGCCACTGGGGGCGTTCCGTATAGTGTGCTCGCGGCCAGGAACAATTCGAAACGCTTGCTTTTCAAACCGCTCGGCCCCAACAGGGGGGCAAGGGACCTGGCTCCAGAGCCTTCTCACGCCAAGATGGCCTCCGAACGCCCGCAGAGGCCCCCAGGGAGCCCTAAGAGGTATCGAATGGAATCCAATTTGCCCCCAACATGCTCCCGACAGACCCCCGAGAGGCCCCAGGGAGCCCCCAGGAAACCTCACTGGGACCCCAGGAAGCCTCCAAGACATTGCCGAGAGGCACCCGCCGAGATCCCAGGAGGTATGCCAGAGGCCTGCAGCCCGCAATCCAAGCACGGTGGCGGGATTGGCCAGATCCCAACGAGTATTCTATTACATGCAAGCTAAGATATGCCCACAGGGGTCGACGCAAATGCGGTGCGCCGCCCGCGCGCTGAGCGATCGCAAGAAGGGTCCAACGCTCACGACCAGGCCGACCGTAACACATGCCCCCGCACCGAATCCTGCGCGGTCGAGGCACCGTGGACACCGCAACTCTGGCGACGGCATGACTGCGCGCAGAGAAATCTGACTTTGCAGGAAATGATGTCGTATTCCAAGGTTTCCTGTGTCCTGGTTTACCTGTGTCCTGGTCTCCGGGGGCCTGAAAAGTGTCCTGCTGCTCCTCGCCGGCCCCAATGAGCTGGGCCCAGTAGTGCTCCCCTCGTCCTCCTTTCCTCCCCTGGCCCCCGGCCTGCTTCCTCAGCGCGGCCGCCTGCTCTTTCTTGCCTGCCTCAGCCGCCTCGCGCGCCAGCCGGCTCAGGGCGGACCGGATTGCGTTTTCCACATCTTCGTTGAAGGCGCCCCACTCGGCCTCCACGTCCACCTCTTCCTCCGCCAGGCACCTCGTTAGCCGCTCCTGCGCTTGCTCGCTGGCTCCAGCCTCCCAAGCCTCCACCAGCGCCAACCTCCACTCGTCAGCGGGTATGCCGTCAGGTTTTCGCCAGGACGGGGTACCTCTGAGCTTCCCAATCCTCCTCTCGATCCTGAGCCGGGCGCCCATGGTTGTCGTCAAGACCTTGTGATCAGACACGTGCAGCGTCTCAGCGCGCATCACCCCCGCCCTTTCAGCAGCGTTCGTCGCGAACCAGTCGATTTTACGCCGGCTCTTCCATCGTGTCCCATCCTCGCACCCGGGCACGACGGTTCCGCCCTCGTGCTCGGCGATTGCCGTGCAGCCCGAATCCTCTGGTAGGTCATTGAAGCCCCCTCCCCAGAGCCACGGTGCACGTTGCCCCCTGCAGGCCTCGAAAATTTGGATCCCGAGGCTGACCATCGCACACTTGCCCTCCTCCGCGGGCGGGCCGTAGGAGTTGACGACCTTCCACCCCGTCACCCACAGGACAAGCGCTTGCGCGGGCCCCTCTACCGCCTGCCACTCCAAGCGTTGTGGCAAAGTTTTCCCGACGAGGATCGCCACCCCTCCCTGGGCAGTCACTTCCCCCCATCTTCCTCTGCTCGTCCTGCCGGCCTGGCCGTGCGCCGCGTAGCCCATCTTAGCGGCCGCCAGCGCGAAGCACCTCCAGTCTTCCTCGAGCATCTTGACCTCCTGCAGGAGCACCACATCGGCGGGGATCGGTCCTGTCGCCCCCTCCGACTGTCCTGTCTCCTCGCCTGCCTCCTGATCCTCCTCTACCTCCTCCTCCTCCTCCTCCTCCTCCTCCTCGCTCTCCTCGGCCCCCTCCTCTGGCTCCTCTGCCTTTTGCTTCCGCGTCCTCGGGGGCGCTACTTCGGCCAGCAGCCGCCAGGCTCCCGGGGCGCTGTGCGCGTTGTTCATCGCTACCTTCAGCTGCCCTCTGGCTTCCACCTTGCTGACTCCTCCTCGCGCAGCGTTTGCCTCGGTCTTCCTCAAGCTCCTCCTGTGGCCCGTTGTCTCCTCTGACCTCTTTACCTCCTCTGCCTCGTCTGCTTCCTCCACCTCCTGCTCTACCAGCGTCAGTCTTCTCCTCCTCCTCCGCCTCCTCTTCTGTTTTGCGTCGTCGCCTCCTTGGGCGGGCGCGCCGGGCCCGCTGGCTCGGTCGGTCTCCGCCCCCACCGCGGCCTCCTGTCAAGAGGCGCGCGCCCCTCTCCTCCTAGCCTTCCGCTCTGGCGCCAGCAGGTCCCCGGGTGGCGCTGCAGGGGCCGCGCCTCCGCGCACCTGTGCCGCCTCCGCTTTCGCCTCCTCCTGACCTTTCCTCCACTCCTCTGCTTTCCTCTTGCGTCCCTCCGCCACGGGGGCCTTCCTAGCAGCCCACTCCCGCGCGTCCTTGTCCCTCTTCTCCGCCTCCTCCGGGGTCATTGCCCACGCAGAGCATAACTCCTTCCTGTTGTGCTCGTTCTGCTCCTCGGTGCCGGCCATGGTGTACTTCCACCACCAGATCGGCGGCGGGCGCTCCTCCTCGATGCCTTTCCCGCCAGTGCACACCTCTGGGCCTGCACCCTTCTTGCCTTTTCTTCTTGGCCGTCTGCTTTATCTCCTTGGCGTCCCTCCTGCACTTCTCGCACGTCTGGAAGAAACCTCTTCGCTTCTCCTTGCCCTCTGTCTGCGGCCAGTACAAGGTCGCCCTGACGATCTCGTGCCCGAGCGGTCCCAGCTCCTCGTTTGCCTTCCTCACCGCCGCAAGGGACTTCTCCTCCTTGCTGGCAGCCGTCCATTCCGCCATCTTGTTGCGGCCCCCCGGCTTGAACTGCGCAGCCTCGTACATCTCCCGCAGGCTTGTTCCCGGCCGGCACTTACGAAGATGAGCCCGCTTGCTCAGCTCGCTCTGCCATCGGCTGCAGTGCTCCAGCCACTCTCCGCAGTACGGGCACTCAAAGGCCCGCTTCTCTTCTGGCAAATCCGCCTTGAACGGGAGCGGGCGCATCAGCCCTCTGATGCCCATCCCGCAAATCCCGATCCCGTCCTTCTCGTTCTCTGCCCTCGCCTTCGCGACCTCCTCCTTGTGCCTGTAGGTCAGGTGGTTCATCACCGTCCACTGGTACTGGCGCTTCCCTTTGCACTTATCCTCGTCAACCTCGTAGGTGCACAGGGGGCACTTCCAGACTCGAGGCTCCGCAGCCGCCGCCGCCGGTCTTTGACGCGGCCGTTGCTGGGCTACTTGTCGCGGCGCCTCCTCCTCCTCCTCCTTTTGCTGTGCTCCTGTTGCCTTCCCTCTCCTCCTCGCAGGTGCTGCTGCGGCTGGCCTCCTCCTAACGCGCCCTCCTCCCCGGACGCCGCCCTCCTGTTTCTGAAAGTCGTGCCACTCCTGTGGCCACACCGTCCCCGGGGCCCACGCCACCGTGCGGTAGTGGTCCTTGCATAACAACAATGGGACCAGCGGCTTTTTCCTCTTCCGGCCTCCTGCGTTGGCCTCCTCGTCGTCCTCCTTTGCCTTGAACTTCCTCGTAGGCACCCAGTCGAGCTTGGTCGTGTGCCATCTCAGCACGACGATGTCCACCCCTTCGGACTTTGCCAGCAGTTGGAGCGCGTGGGCGCAGATCCAT